CTTCTTACCGAAAGTAGAACCGTTACAAAGACTTGCACTTACTTTCTGTTTTTTTTTACTCGTGTTGCTTTTTTCCCTGCACAATAAATAAATAAATAAATATATGTACATATAAAAGAGAAAGTGGAAAACGATGTACATATATAATATATATATATATATACATATACATTATGACGTTTTTTGCTGTTGTAACGTAATTCTCGCGCCGCTTCCTCGCAAACGGAGTTTCTTTCACGGGACTCGGGTGAGCGTCCGCGAGAAGGCAACGTCGAATCACGGGCAGGATAGAAAAGATGTTTCAAAACGAGCGCTGCCGGGCCGAATTGACGAATACTTTGGTATAATTTAGGGCGCCAGACGCGTGATCGCGTCAAAAATCTGCGTCGCTCGACACAACGGGCCGACTAGCTCTATTTGGACGGAGAGGGGCTGGGTTTACTAAAAATTTGTAATGCAGGCGGTCTCTTACTCTCGCGAAGCTTAGATGATAAAGGAAAATTAACGTTAAACGGAATGAATTAGCAAGTAATTAACAATTTATTTCTCGGACAGAGAATCCAGATAAAATTAGTACAAAATAATATAAAAGAAATCAGGTGTGTGGAAGAATAATAAAAAAGCCAGTGTGATACAAAATAATATAAAAGAAATAAGAGAAAGAATAAGCTAAGGCCGTATATCAAATAATATCAAATAATATAAAAGACCGAATCACGCTAATTCACGAGACAAATTATGTAATCGGAACGATACCGCGAAAGTACTAAACGGGAGACTTTACTAACTGCTTCAAGCTGAAAGATAGATAGGCACGAGAATATAGCAATTGTAGGGCGCAAAGCTAGACGCAGGCTAAGCAGGCAAGAGAGTGCAAGCCAATGTACGTGACAAACAATACGCCGGGATAAGATAGCGTGCAGCAGCCTCTTTACAAGCCGTAATTCCACGCGGACTTACTTGTTTCGCTGATGATCGCAATTTGGTCGAACGGATCACCGCGCCACGCAGCTTCATGCACTCAAACAAAAGAATACTCGCAATATGGAGCGAAGCTGGCGCGATGTCGAGGCTTGATTTTGCTTTTCGATTATCACCGAACGATTAACGACGCGCTCTGTCTCGGTACTAGAGAGATCGGCGATACGATACGTTACTTGGCCGCTAATAATCCCGGACAAATTATACACACTAAAATGCGACACGCATTCACTGTACGTTCACGAATTTGTCGGCGATAATTGTCCCGGAAATTCACCACCCGAAATTGCCGTTAATTCGCACGTTAGCTCGGTACGATATTTCCTTCCGATTGACACCGCTTCCGACTTGCCCGCACCTCACTCCAGCCGTTCACGCGAGGAAATCCGATTTCGTTTTGCTATTTGTTCCCGCGTCAGCTGATCGCCGTCGGTAGACGATAGCCGACGGTACGCAAGCGGTACGCTACGAAAATCACGGCACACACACACAACAATTACGATCACTTAACCGAAAAAAAGAAACAGACGAAAACAAACAACGCGAAAAGGCTACTTGGCGTTGTATCGCCACTCCAGGGCTTGACGATAATTCGCGAAACTACGAAGATCATGCACTTAACCTACGAACTACTGCCACGAAGCCCCGTGAAGCCCGATTCTGGCCGCTGTCGAAAATTCGTTAATACGGCCAAGGACACGTCCTTGCCGTCGTAAACAAGACGCGAAATACAAACGACCAGCCTCAACACGAGGCCTGTGCAACGCGGATTCGTGGCTAACAGTAATGAAATGGGCACCTTACCGTCGTCCGTTGTTCTCCGGCATGCTCCTGTCTTCTCCATCCGGAATGACACTCCAAGAGCTCGCTTACTCAGTCGGGGTCACCCTCACGACTTGAATCACTACACCTCGAGTACAAAAATCGCGGCACGGCAGACCTTATGGACTGCTAGTAGCTTACTTCAGACGTGTCGCCAAGCTGCGAAAATTTAGACTCCGCCCCGAAGAGTAATTCTTAGAAACGAGAGTGGAAAGACTCTCCCGTAAGTTACATGCATCCCGCGCGTTATTCGTTTCTTTCATTGCAAGTTCGAGTTAAGTATTTGTTTACTTAATTAATAAAATGTACTGTTTTATAAAAGAATGTACTTTGACATCCTACAAGCGAAAAAAGAAAGATAACGAACCAGTTGTGCCATTTTACAAGTAGTTAATTTCTTAACCTAACCCTTTTTTTTTTTTTTTTTAACGAGGGGAAATCCTTTATGGATTTCTTTGCCAGCTGGGGGTGCTGGGCAAAGGATATGCGGGACTAACTGGCCACTTCAGGCATCTTCCGGCCATCTCCCATCCTCCCGCCGAAGAGGAGAGATGACCAGCCTACCCGCTAAAACCCCTCAATGTCCCCAATTGCGCCAACTGGGCAGAGAGAGCCAGCGCACGTTCCAAAAACATTACTTGCTGACTCTCCGCCTTTCACATGCGCAGGTCTCCATGAGACCACTGCAAGGTTTTAAAGAGATGGCAGGAAGACCCTCTTTTCTTCCTTACTGCTTTAAGAACTCATTGGCTGCGTGCTATGGCAGTAGTCAACCCCCATTAACACTGCCTGCAGACCAAATTAGAGACAGAAGATCAAGAGGTAGGGGGGGACATAATCCCTATTTCCTCAATTTCNTGTCTCCTTATCCATCCATATAAAATTTACGCTCTCTTAAAAATATCTCATTATACATTTGTCTCAAGCCAATTTACTCGAGCAATTCTCCTATTAATTCTTCTTCTAATGGGTTCAATCTGTCCTTGTCGCTCTCTTTCAGCCTCCTCTTTCTTTAGTAGCACTTTATCAGCGTAGCGAACCACCGCTTGCCACTCTTCAGGTCCATCTAACATAATCCTAACTGCTGTTTCCATTGAAACCCGATCAGTTTTTAACTTTAGACGTAGTATTTCTCGTTCATCCTTCCAGCTTTC